CGTTTTTTTTTAAAAAAAATTTATCAAGCTCTTAAAAAATCACCCGTTATCTTCGTTGCTGGTGTTCGCAGGAATGAAACGTGTAAGTATGGGTTAGCGAGTGTGCAATTAATTTTTATTAGTTAACTCTTTTACGCGCAAAGCAATGAAAACTAAAATGAACTAAAGTGCTTTTAAACTAATGGAGTTTTTTTTATTTATTTTTTTTTATTTCTGTTTTCAGCATCGTAGCGCGTTTCTGTTGCCTTGGATCGTTTTCATGCTGTGCGATGTGTTAATTGAACTTTTTCATTTGGTTTACTTATCCATAACACAGATGGTTAATTTCGATCCAGTTGTAGGCTTCATATTTACCATCGATTTTTTTATTATGTGCCTGAATGTAAGTTGAAATTTTATATGTATGTATGTGCATATATTTAAGGACGCGTAACAATCATTTTTGAGTTGTGATTGAAGTGCAGAAGAATGAGAAATTAGCACAATAATGTTTACTTGACCTGTCTCTTTTTTTAAGTCAAAATAAGCCAAAAGGCTCAACCGTTTTCATTAATTGAGGCATTAAGAATTCTGTCACAGGATATGTTTCGGTTTAGTTAGGATTTTCGTTCGGGTATACCGCAGCCGTTGTTGGGGTGATTAATGAAATTTTTTGCTGTTACTTAGGGTAAATTAGCTGTTTACCCTTTTGCAGGTTGATTCAAGTATTTACATCTATTTAAAAGAGTGCAAACATTTTTTCACTCAAAGTTGTTTAGTTTTTGCATACAAACAAGTAGCCAGCGGCATTAATAAATTTCCAAAGAAAATGTTTTAAGTAGTAAGAAAATTAAAATAAGATTGTTTTCATAATTATTACTATGTTTGTGGCGCATACAACCCAACAGCGAATGGAATGCATTGCGCATCGATGCCTCACTGATGAAAAGTAATGGCACTTTTCTATTGAAGTATGCATTACATTTAATATTGCATTTAACCACTAAAATACTTTTTGGCAAAATGTAATGCAGCTTATGTGATAATGATATGTATATAGAAATGTCTAGCAAAAGTTTTTTATCAAAATGTAAGGCATATAAAATAAGGGTTCGACATCAATTGCCTGTCAATCGGTGAAAGTACTTCGAAAAAAATTTGAGTAGTATTTGATACATTGGAAGTGATTACGTTTGAGAAGCACTTCATGCATATTTTAATGCGATTGCATTACTTTGGAGTCGACTCTGGAGTTGGTGGCAATCGCATTTTCGCTGCTGGGTATATTTACATGCATACGTTCGCAAATTTATTCATACATTTCTACGCCAGCCCTCTTATCTTATTCCTTTTCATATCGCTTCCTTCTTTATTGCTGCTTAGACGTATTGTCTGCTGTGCGTGATATCACAATATCAAAATTACCTGCAGGGACGTGGATATGCGGATCAACAGATGCGGGTAAGCATTGCCGAGAATTCGATATGCGGGGTGAAATTCCACATTTTACATGTCTATGCATCTATTCTGGGAATTCGTTCACTTATATATACATACATACATATGTACACACATGCATATGCATCGATTGGGGCATGACTTTTAGCTTGCATACATATGTACATATTTGTGGGGTAAATAATACCCGTTTATGTTTAATAAAAGTTATTCTACATGTGAGCCGTTTATTTTGAAAATGGCATAAGACACCTTTTCAAAAAATCTAGTTAATAATAACACAAGTTACAATTTAACGGTATTTGTTAATTAAAACAAATTTGCGTTGAAATGTTAAGAACTACTGAGGTTTTGTTGGAGAGAAGTTTTACTAATCAGCGGCATAACGAAGATGCTTATTTTGAAAGTGGCATAAGTCAGTCAACAAAAAAAAAACAAGTTAATCATAACATTGATTACACCGAACAAAAATCAATTTTAGACACACAAAAAACTAGCAGCCAATTTCGCGAAGGCAATTTAAGAGTAAAATGATTTTAATTTTTTGAATTTCATATGGAAATTTACAGAAAATAAAAAATCATTTTCCATTTAAATTGCTGGTGAAACCGCTGTAGGTGCCAAATAAAGTGAAACTGCGTGTTTTTTTTTTTTCTCTGGCGTCCAAATTTTTTTAAAGACTTTAAGGTTTCAAAGATGTGATTAATTCCAAAATTAATTTAAAAAATGCAATGCAATTTATAATATGTAGCAATATGGTTACCAAATAAATAAGAAAATTGTGTGAAATTAAAAAATATTACAGTTTTTTTTTCATAAAGACGAATTAGTATTGAAAATGTTCTTCTAAAATTGTGTCCTTGCGTATCCTTGCAAATTTGGTGTGTTTATTTTTTTGAAAAAAAAATATAGGATAAGGATTAATAGACGCATGACCATATCCTCGAATTTCGTCCTTGTACTTTAATAGCTTAAAAGCATAAAAATAATTAAAAGGACATTTTCAATACCAATCCGCCCTTGTAAACCAAAAAATTTTATATTTTTAAACGTAGGTTTCCTTTTTTTATGTATGTATGTATCTGTTGAAGAACTAGCGAATAGGAAACACACAGTTTAAATTTAATAATTTCTTCGTTTTTTTTTTTTTTAAACATGGGAAGGAAATTATGTTACTCATACGCCATGTATCTACGCGTTAAATAAAACTTAAGCTTAAAAACCCGCTTTCAAGAAAAATAACAAGAAATATTTTTCATTATTTCTGTTGCTCGAAAAAGCATTTTGTTTTTGTAAATTTTCTTGAAGAAATAAATATACGATAAAATTTTTCTTTAGAGCTGCAAACTGGTTTAAAAAAATTTCAGAGAAGAAAATTTCTTTTTCTTCAGTTCTTGTGCGTCAGCTTATATGAATTTTTCGTTTTTTTCTTGAGAGCTGTGCACAGCCCTTCAATAGGAAAACCATGGTGAAATTATACCGAGTGTAGTACTAAAAGCGAGAAGAAAGCTTGGACACTATCTTATTTGAAAATTTGGCTTGAAAAATTTCTATAGCCATAAAAGGCAACCAGAAGCTGCTTAACAGCCAGGAGCCCTGACTTGACACTTTTCTTACTATAGCTGAGTTTTCAAACAAGAAAAATTTAAACCAAACAATCTGAATCGTATGTACAAACTTATAAAAATAAAAAAACGCCTAAGAAGATCGCTTGTCTGCATCCGTTCCCCACGCGCCCAGAAAAACATTGAAATATTTAGCAAATGAATTGGCATTCTTTGAGCCCGTCTGTCTCCACATATGACCAAGGTACTCCTCTCTCTTTCCTCGGTGAGACTGACTCGAAAGAGCCTTTCCAAGTCAACTTATCGGCCACGTAAATGGTTTTTTGCAATATTATTGCGGCCTGGCACCCAAATAAATCTCACTAGAAATGCACTGTGAGCGAGTCCAAGGCCCTAATTCAGTGGCGCAGATGGCTGCGTACCAGGAAGGAGGTGTTAATGGGATTGATTATTCGTTAACGAACTTTAAGGAGGCGATTAAGGGTATTAATTAATTATTATCTATAATTTAAGTTTGCTGCCATATTCACAGTTTTAACTGTAAATTACAGTTTTTCGACCATCTTACAGCCAATTTCAGGAAAGCAATTTAAGTTAAAAATGATTTTAATTTTTTGAATTTCATATGAAAATTGATGGACAATAAAAATCATTTTCAACATAAATTCAGTTTTTTCTTAGAAATCTATATATTAATACGCTAACGAAATCCCATACAAATCTATTCCTCCCTACTGCTCCTATGTTTCTCAACCGATTTGAATGATTTTTCTTTTGTTCGAAAGGTATTTCAAAGGGGAGGTGCGCATTTTGTTTGTTTTTTCAGTAGGTGGAGTGGGAGTGGAGTTATTCCGAAAAACTTCCTTTATGGTCCGATTTGCTTCAAATTCAAAATGCATATTACTAACATCAAGAGAAATACACCTGCAAAAAATGGACCCGATAGGTGGCTCCAGAGCCGAGTTATTCCAATTTCCGTATAAGCCTATGAATACCTGCTTTGGTTTCATCATCTACTATCTATATATTAATACGCTAACGAAATCCCATACAAATCTATTCCTCCCTACTGCTCCTATGTTTCTCAACCAATTTGGATGATTCTTCTTTTGTTCGAAAGGTATTATTTTCCGGTAGGTGCCCGATTTGGTTTCACCATCTATGAATTTTTAAATTATTTAACAGAATGTATATTACTCCACCAAACAGTATGTGTAAGCGAGCTAGACGATTAACAGGTGCTGGTGGACCTAAAACACTTCCCTGGCAAAATGAAAAAGTGTGTGAAAAAAGTGAAGTGGTCGAATTTCGACAACGGGGCGATACTAGTTTATATTAAAGACTTATCAACCGTTGTGTAAAAGGTCACCGATTCTTCCTTTTAACCAGCCAACGAAAAAAATAATTAGTCTAGTCACGTAGTGGTCCATGTTATCAGGGATAAGCCGAAGCCTCTAAATAGTTAGAATATCCAGTCCTGAGTTAGTTAAGCACGCGACGCGAATTCAGTCATGCTACGGCAGCCATACCTACAAAGTCCACTGGTAGGACAGCTACTATAGCTGTCTCTTGTGCCTTCCAGCAGACGAGGACTATATAAAACATTATGAGCTTCGCTATGTTTTCATACACCCAAGAAATTGCCTTATCAGAGAGGCTCCATCTCTTCTTCATTCTGTCCTCAATGTTAAGGATGAAACGGAAAAACGGTTGTACGGGGTTCCATATACATACATATTTTGTATAATGAAAGAATGTTTATTGGTTTGTTTAAAGTTTCACCCTTAAATCATGTTTCAAAGAATTCAGAGATATTTTCTTTCCCGTTATTTATTTAACATTTATTACCTGTTTTCTTTTATCCCAGACGGAAATTGTGATAGAAACAGTGGATGGCGAAGTGACGGAGAGGCAAAGCTGTCTGAAAACAACAAAAATGAACAAATCGTTGGCAAGTCCTTATATAACGACGAACCCGAACACTCATATTTCGACGATACCAGAGGAAATGGATCAGAATTACAAAATTCGTACAAGCTCAGGTAATTAAATTGCTTTTTGCCAAATGCGACAATACTTATAAACATATGTATTTAGAGCAGTGCTTGAAAGGATATTTCCAGCGCAATGAAATCAAATTTTCTTTGAATTTTTCATTTATTCAAAGCAACGATAAGCAATTTATTATAATATAGAAAAGTATTTTAAATTTGGTGATAAAAGTAAGCTTCTTAAAATAAAAGTCATAAAATTCGTTTCGTCAATCACAATTCCACATAATTTCACATAGACATACATACATATAAAAACTGTAAATAAACTTTAAGGAGCAATGACTTTTGAACGCCAAATAGTTTTTGAACCAAAAATATTTTATTGCTGTCATCCATCAAATTAAACTCAAACTATTTGACCCCGTAGCCCTCATAATTGATTTACGCTGATAAAAGGTCTCGTTAATCACGTCAAAATGAGATCGAAGCATAAAGCTGCGGAAACATCAACAATACATAAACAACACATGTACTACACACATACTTATGTATGTACATATGTATATATGTATGTATGTATGTACTAAATGGGAGCCACAATTCTGGCCACAAACTGAAATTGCTCGGTTTTGGTTGTTTGTTAAGTAGGCGAAAAACTTTGTGTGTGCAAAGTGAGCACGTACAAAATCGCCAAAAGAAGGAGAATGGCTCTGATAGATTGCCGAAATCCTTCCGAAATATTAACTAGGGCAATTTCGCAAATTTAAACCCTGTAGAGAAGCGCACTGGTGCCGAACTGGTTCGGTTCTAGAGAATTTAGAACCATGACTAGTATGCGTTAATTCTCTTTTGCATGCAAGCAACTGGAAACGGTTAGAAATGTAGTTTCTAAAAGTAAAATAAAATACAGGTTTTGTAAAAGTACCGGAACTCGCTGCCTTTCGGCTGCTGAGGATCTAGTTACTATCAGACTGCTTCGTGTTTGACGATAAAGAACTAGTACTGAATTAGAAAATTGATTCACTAATTCGGGCTTTCCATGCAGGGAACACATAGATATGTATGCATAAGTATTTGTTTGTGTACAAATTTATTTCTCGGAAGTTCCAACGAAAGTTCGAGCATTTATGCTGCAGCAGTAAAATAATTGTAAAGCACGCTGAATGGGCCAATACCAATAAGTATGTATATCTGACGATGATCGATTTGTCGGCCTTGTGGGTGACTTCAAAGGGCTTGTGATACGGATAAGTCTTCGGTACTATCGCAGGATATCAAGCTGGCCAAGTCTTGATTGCAACTGTTTGCGCTGCAGGTCCGCTGGTTCGTTGTACTTATTTGAGAGAAACAAACTTTTGAAATTCATTGCGGGCTTTTTCTGCTATTGGAGAGCTCGGTGGCAATGTGGCTCTAGTTGAGGTTGAGGTTGCTTGTGGCGTCCTTTTTGAGAAGCTCTTTTCGTTTTATACTCATAACTGAACGAACCCTTTCGTTCAAGCATCCATTGTAACCGAGGCGGACAAGCTGTCCAGCGAAGGTTGCCCGATATACGTAACCTTACGCTCACGTCAACACTTTTTCCGACTTTCATGACCAGATTAAGCCTCGCTGATCCTCCGTAGGGGTCGTATGACACCTTGAGCCGGCATTGAAAGTCGAAAGAAAAAGAGTACGAACAGAAATTTTTGGTGAGGTGGATATGCAAGGTAACTCATAATAAAAAGGAAAATGCTCTTTAAAATGTATATCCTACTATAGGATATTGAAAAAAATTTAAACTTAAATGAATACCCTATCTTGGCTATTTCTGGAGCGTGGTCAGAATTGAATTTTTCATACCCTTTAACCCCTATTCAAAGTAGTCTTTCATTACAATTTTATTTTATAAATGAACCGACCCGATCTAATGTATACAATACATACATGCACGCGTCCAAATATTTCCACATGTATAATTATATTGTACTTGTGAGCAATGAAAAATTATATTCCCGCAAAAACATGACAAGCAAAAATGTATGTATATGTATGTAGATATGAGCGCATACATGATTGCAAGAAATAAATATTTGTTTAATGTGTCTGTATATATTTGCATATACTCGAAATGATAATGTGCTATAAATTTGTGCATAGTAACTTCAAGACAAGGCCCAGGTTTTCATTTGGTTTTTTTTTTTAACTTTGCGCGCTTTTCATGGACTCACAAATTTCGTATTAACAGATTTTTATTAACAAAGGCTACGCCACACACAATGTACATTGTACATATATATAAACACAATTATTGCACCCAACTACCGTATACACGTGTGCGTATATATATATATGTTTATATATATGTATCTGGGATTTGTTTGTATAACTAATTCCATGTTTGCAGCAACGTTTTCCTGTTTCCTGTTGCCAGCTGTTTGTGGTTGTTCGGGCCATACGCGTTGGCATTATGGCAAGCTGTCAACGCACAGTGGGAGAAATGGTCAATTTGGCGGCGTGAAATTTAAAATTTTCGAATCTCACTTATATTTTTTTTACAACTAACAAGCCAACGGATTTGATGTTGTTTTTTTTTATTTTAGTTTTTTAATATTTGTCCAGTTGTGAGCGTTCAAACTTAGCATATGTATGGTGCAGCAAGTGCATTAATTATTTTCGCGCTTTTTGCAGTACAAAGTTTGTGTACAGCAAAGATTTTATTTTTCTTATTTTCTATTTGGATTAGAGGTTTAATTGGAATTATTAGGATGTGTTAAATATAATACAATGTTCGTGGCCTGTGCTTATAGGTTTTAGTGCTTAGTCGTGGTACAAAATGGCCTTTCTGCTAAATTTGTTTAGCATGTGTAACCCAATCTTCTATGGAATAAAACTTGGGCGGATTCGAGAGGATTCGCCGCAGTATTTTATTTGTTTTCAGTATGATCTATAGTCTATGTTAAGTTGAAGAATTAGGTGCAGGTTTTTGCAAATTTTTGATTTTTTTTTGTTTTTTAGGTACAATTTCAGAGTCAAAACGCACCCTTTTTTTATTTGGACACAGTAAACCAATACCAACAAAAAATTATTACACCTAAAAATTGTTATTTTTTCGAAGTTATTAACAAGGCGCCGCCAGATTGACCATTTCTCCCACTGTGCAACGTAGAAAAAAGGCATACAAGTATACAAGCCTGCACATATATACATATGTATACATGTATGTATGCATTAACAAAAGAAAAGGTCATGACCTACATATTTATATAACCTTATTGGTGAAAATGTTTTGTTGGGCGAAGTAAACGCAATGATTAATTTTAGTTGGCATTAAGCCCCGGGGCAACACCTTAACACATGTTCATATATAATGTATGATGTGTGTGTACCAACATGTGTATGTGTAAGCTTCGGAAACAAATTTTATCAGTTCAATTACAGGCAATTTTCGGACAATCAAACACCGGAACCCAAGCTTATTATGAGCCATTAGTGCGCAGATTAAGGTTAATAAAAAAATATGCAGTTCTGCTGTTGGTAATTGCCAATTATGCGTCACATACATCATATTATATGCGAGTAGTATACATACATACTACATATGTTTGTATTATATTAGCATGTAGGCACATACAGGTACTACATGGAACCAAGAGTAAAACACGAAAAAAATTCGGTGCTCTCCGAGCGGATTAAAAAATTTCATCTGAGTTATTTTGAATTGAATTATGTGTGTACTACCTAAATATTTTGCGTAAATGATGGGTTAATCTTCATCGGTTTCATTTCTAGTTCTCCCCTGTCCTCGCGATGAATTCATAATAATGAGCTTTTTAATGCAATTTTCGGCATGCCTTATATCCAGTCCAGTTATTCCGATATTCCGAAATTCCGCTGCATAAATTATTTGCTAATGTATGCAATTACGTATGTATGTATGTATGCCTATTTTCAGTGCATTCCTAAACGTTTCAATGGATAGCTTTGGATTTTGAATTATTGCGAATATGCACATAACGGTTTAAGCATAAAAAGTGAGAAATATTTTAATGAAAAAGTTGGCAAGCCAAGTTTCATCTCCGCCTGCTACTTATGTACATTGTAGAGAAAGACCTGCCATAGGGCTGGGGTAGCCTAATGTTCCTGCATGTGGTATGTAAATGTGTAGTTATGAAGGAAATCCAATCAGCAAACGAAGGAGTAAAATAATATGCAAAACACTTTTCCTTTTCTGGAAATCATAAGAATTCCTTGTGCGATTCATTAATAATTTTTTTTTTAATGTATGGAATTTCAAAATAAATCTAATGACCTCAAGTGAATAATTTCTAAAACATATATGTGGTAGAGCTGTCAAACTATCGACGATACTATCGATAGTATCGATAGT